ACATTCTGATTAAGTCAGACCTAGAAGTTGCGAAATTTAAATTCAACAAAAAATTAACCGCTTTTAAGTGCTTTAGTGGTTTGTATAATATTGTGGTTCGGGTAATATTTTTTGACGTATGATATTCTGTAAAGACAGTAATGTTTAGGATTCAGGGTACATGATAAAGTCACAGTATTTGGTTTTAGGATATATTCTGACAATTGGTAGTACAGCTTTTATACTAATATGTAGATACATTGACTATATAACCATGTGTTATATGACCCGCCTTATCATGTCAGTAAGACCAATATATGACCACTTACAAGGTTTTAAGATAATAAATTGTTATAACCTTAGGGACGTTTACATGGTTCCATACAAAATATGTTTTCCTTAGGGACATAGGTTATTTAATTGAATTTTACATGATTTTTCCTACAGTATTTTAGCTTTTTGTTGAGCCTGTGACAAAAGTTGCGAAAGCTAGACATAGCAATCCTACAATCTATCAGTGTTGTCAACATTTAGGTTCAATCTGTATTTAAAGTTTTTTCAGACATCATTCACTTTGTCAAACCTTCATTGAATTTTATGATCAAAAGATCTATAGCAAAATTTTAAATATAATATTTTTTAATTTCCCATATTTTACCAATAAATGAAATGATTTTTTTGGCAGTTAACATTTAGGTACAGTCTTGGGTAAAAGTTTTTTCAGAACATCAATAACTTTGTCAAACCTTCATATAATTTTCAAATTTTCATACAATAAAGCTTTTTAGAGGGATGACAACTTCCCTTCATTTCTAATAAGGGATTCTTTTTTCACAGAAAATATGAACATGTTAGGGTCTGGCTCTAGTTTTTAAGAATCCTGGATTGGGCAAGGATAAATGCTTGGAATGAGTGTCTATATAAATTTTTGTTAAACCATTCACTTTACAATTAAATTGTCTATTCATAATTTCATGGGATGAACTTAATCTAAAAAAATTTAAATAGACTTAGGAAACACTGGATTTAAAAAAATTTTAAGCTCAGATTTAAAAGGAAACCATCAATTTCATACAATAATTAAGCTCAATGAATAAGTACAAAATGTGAATGAATTAAAGTTTGATTAATCTCTCTGATGGTATCAATTAAATATTGGTCATTTTGTGAGGAAATAAATCTTACTTTATTTGGTTAAAACGGACAATCTATAATTTACGAATATTTTACAGTAAAGCGACTTTGAATGAAAGTTGTAAAGAATTGATTAAATTCATTGGTACATACATTTCATAAAGTTTGTTATTTTATAACGGTCACTTTAGATTAATCATAATAAATGTCAATATAACATTTAAAGCCTTAAGCTAAGATAAATATTTTACAAGTTCTTTATGCAACTTTTCTTCAGTCATATCGAATACACACATAATTTAATTAATGGATGGATTGATCTTTACTCAGTCAAACCTATTGTAATTCTCTATGATAAATCAAATCAATTAATTAATATAATTTCTGTTTACAACATGACCCCAACACACTATGTTGTTATAGCAACGCTATTTGGTATTTAAAGAAAGATGATTTTTTATTAAGGGACTCCGTTTGGATATGCCTACGAGAGCACATGAACTGCGTTCGGATTTTCCAACGCAATCAGATATATTGTTTATGTTTTAAAATTACTGATTTGTATAACACTGTTATTTTATATTTGGACTGTATTAAATGAATTTGGACTTTACCAATTTGTTTACGTTTATTGAATTGGACTGCCGACTTGGATGTGAATGAACTGTGATATATTGCAATCCATTATCTAAAACCCAATATCTCATATATTTGTACCGAAACATATAACCTGATATTACAAGTTCGTATACAAAAGCTAGTTTCCCCAGCTTCAACACCATCCCACAGACGGGATTACACTCAAAGCCATTTCGGCAAGTTTTATCTGGAAACGTATCAAATTCTTTCTTGATAATTTTTCTGAGGGTTTAATCCACAATGAACTTGGTCATTTTACTGAGGGTTTAATCCACAATGAACTTGGTAATTTTACTGAGGGTTTAATCCACAATATACTTGGTAATTTTACTGAGGGTTTAATCCACAAGGAACTTGGTCATTTTACTGAGGGTTTAATCCACAATGAACTTGGTCATTTTACTGAGGGTTTAATCCGCAATATACTTGGTTATTGACCTTTCAGTAATTGTCAAGTTTTAAATATAAAAATAAGAAGATGTGGTTTGATTGCCAACGAGACAACTCTCCACAAGAGACCAAATGACATAGAAGTTTACAATTATAGGTCATTGTACAACCTTCAACAATGAGCAAAACTCATAACTGCATAGTAAGCTTTTAAAGGCCCTGAGATGACAAATGTAAAACAATTCAAATAGAAAACTAACGGTTTGATTTATATACAAAACAATGCCTTGTTGTCGCTATCAAAAACTTGGTCAAAGAAAAGGCAGGAGTTAAATGTTTACAAAGAGAAAAGTAGCTCTAATCAACTTCTCAAAGAATGACTGCAATTGCTCTATCACTGTGTATCTCAAATGTCATTAACTGCATCTCTTCTCTCATCTTTAGATTTTATGTTCCATTTCCATTCCTTTACCCTCCACCAATTCAATAAATTTTTCTGTGATATCATTTGTTCAGAACAATTTTCTTTCTATTTTACGTTGGGAGATAATCCTGGGCTGACAAAATGTGGAACAATTCAAATAGCAAACTTACTGCATGATGTTTATATGACATATATGCTATGAACTATGTGATGGCCATATTATTTATTCAGTACCATGGATATACTTAAAAAGTTGAAGGAACAATGTTCATTTACATAAATATCGAAAGAAAGTGTTTTATGTTCATCTGAATGATATCCTAGAAATGACCAATTTTTATATGGCCAGGCCTATAGTGTTACCCCCTCCTATTATTCTGCTCTAACCGTAATATCATGGTCTAAATTAGATACACTCAATCAGGCCAACACCCGCCTTCATGGGTGTATTTAATCCTTAAGATAGAGCTTGTTTTTGTTGACCAAATTTTAGCAGAATTTTGGTCCTTGGACTTAAAATTAATAAAAATAGTACTTGTCCAGCTTTTTTGTGCTATGCAGATGTTGAGCTGTTTTTTTTTTGTACATAATTTAATATTCACGACTTCCAGGTTAAGTTCTATTTTGATTCTGGTTTGTCAAATTTTTGGCAGAACTATGAACTTTTGAGCTGTTGTTTTTGCTGCTGATGTAGAAATTTAAGTCATACAGAGGGAAAAAAAACTTTTACCAAAGAAACTTTATTTTAAATAACTAGTGGCCAAGGGCACTGGACAAAGGACAGACAGAAATGCCACAATATCATAGTAGCTTTGATTCAAATCCTGCTGAATGAGTGAAAGTATAGAATGGTGTTATGTTAATATTATAGGCAACTTGGATAATTTTGTTTTCCATGTAGTGTAAAAATCAATAGTTGAAACAGGATATCCTATAAAATGTTGGGCCTTGCATGTTGCATGCAATGTCTACATTACAGGAAAAACCACAATTCACAGGTTTTGTATTTTCAATTGCAATAATTAACTTGTATCATGAAATGACTTTTTATTTGGAAATTTATATTTACCGAGACCTTAAGTCTAAGGTAAATTAATTTTTATGTGGAGTCAGTTTACTTTGTACATGTATCAAATAAATTTATGTCATTTTTTCATTGAATTATTATAATTAGTTAATTTTTAAATTTTGCATGAAATGTAAGCATTTTAAAAAGGACAACAGACAAATAATTTTGGAAACAAGATTAAAAAATAGAATAAAAAATTTTGTATTTGAAGGGACCATCATTTTACATTTTGAAAAAGCAGCATTACTTTTTTCGCAAAATTTGCACCCCAAGACAAGGAAGGGAAAGAAAATAAAGAATTTATTTAATTTGACCTCAACATTGACATTATTAAGTTTTGATATCAGCTCATGAAATTGACTATCATTCGATGTATAAATGTAATCTGTCAGAAACTGACACCAAACAGTCTATTATATTTTTTTATTGCCTAAGTTCAATCATATTTAGAAATAAAATTTGTTCCATTGCTGTAATTGACCTATAAAAATGTGTCAAACAATATCATATAAACAGGTCTCCCACATTTTTGGGATTTTTTAAAATTTTTGTGATCATTTATAACAATAGAATGGCTTATTATTAAATACTTTTGAATAGTACAGGATTATCAGTATTATATAAAATACTTTCTTGATGAATACAATGAATACCCAGCAGCATTAGCAAAGAATTCTAAATGACATTGTTATCAGGATTACAATTACATAATTATCATATCAGGTCATTGTAGATAGATGTACAGTATATGGGAAAAATAATAGGGCAAAAGATCAGAAGTGCCAATTAAATCTAAGAAAACTTGATTGGTTGATGTGTAGGCTTAATTTTTGTTGTTTACCTTTTATTTCATGACATACTAAAGGAAGAATATACTCAAAATTTAAATCAATTTTGACTATGGTAATAAGAGTCAGTTTTGACTATGGTAATAAGAGTCAGTTTTGACTATGGTAATAAGAGTCAGTTTTGACTATGGTAATAAGAGTCAGTTTTGACTATGGTAATAAGAGTTAGTTTTTTAGTCTTCTGTAAAAGAACATAGATCTGAAAAAGATGGTGAGAGAATTTGTTATGTTTGTTTGGAAACATAAAAATACATGTACATCATTTTTTGTTTTATATAATGATGGTCAGTTGTTGAGTAAAACAGGGAAAATCAATCAACCACCCACCATAGCCATAATGGGCTAATTGGTTAGTGGAATAACTTTGGAGAACATTGGGCAACTGAGAGCTCATGAAATTGATGTTATTATATATATATTTCTATGTATGGCCATTTTAAGTACAGAAAGTTTTTCAATTTTTTTATGGTAAATATGTTAAATGATTTTACATGAGATTTTGTTCTTTATTTTTTAGTGTGACAGACCATGAGTTTGGAGGAATATGAAGAAGGCCAATATCTGACACCAGACGATGAAGACATAATTGACAAAGGAAACTATATTCTGAACTCAAGACCATACCACCGGCATGGAAGAGGACGTTCATTTCATCAAGGATATTGGCGTGGCAGAAGTTTCCAGGGAAGAGGAAAGCCACTCAGAGGTAAATTTCTAGCCAACACAAGAAAAACCAGAAAATCATTGGAGAATGAACATGAACAGGAAAATAGATCTCCAAATTCCAGTCTGGAAAGGTCAAGAGATTCAAAAGAATGGTCATATTCAAGGTCATATAGACACAGTAGAGAAAAATCTCCCACACCATCAAGGAGAAGTAATAGTAGAGGAAGGTCACATAGGACTCATAGCCGTGAGAGGTCACATCGGACTCATAGCCGTGAGAGGTCACATCGGACTCATAGCTGTGAGAAGTCACATCATGGCCATAGAAGTCAAGATAAATATAGGAGTCGATCTAGAGACAGGATACGTAGTCGGTCACCCAGACGTAATAGTAGAGGCCGTACTCAGAAAGGTTACAGTAGAGAAGAAACTAGACAATTAAATAACTCGAGAGACAATAGTGATCATTATAGGGATAGTTACAATAGAGACGATAGAAATCACCAAGGTAACAAAAGAGATCGTCTTAAAAACAGTAGAGACCGTCATAACAGTGATGAATCCAGGCCTGACCAATTTGAAAATAGGCGGAGGTCTGCAGAATTGCGAGAAAATGGACTTCCCATAGAAAGTGATTGTAAATATTCACCCAACATGAATGACAAACTAATGAACATGTCAGAAGATCGGTCATCTAAAAAAAGACAAAATGTTTCTTCTTTAGAAAATAAATTGTCGAAAAAAGATAATGATAGAAGGGACAATAAAAGAAGAAATTTGAATAAGTCACAGAGGAAAACAGGAAGAGAACACATTAATGTTAAAGAATTTGTAGCAGAGGGATTGCGAGAAATCAGATTAGGTGAAAAAGACAAACTTATTAAAAAGAAATATAATGGAATAAACAATAGGAATGAATTACAAAATAGGATGGAGAATTATGTATTAACATCTATGGACATAGAATGTCTTCACAAAAGGAATGATCGCTATCATTTCTATAGGGACCCAAACAAATCCACAGACACAACTTCGTCTTCTAATACATCAAATGACCCAGCTGACAACAGCTTCAAAAATACCAAATCTACAACATCAAATGAAACAGATGTGTTTGACAACAGCTTTAAAAATACCAAATATCGAACATCAAATGACACAGCTGTGTTTGACAACAGCTTCAACAATACCAAATCTAGAACATCAAATGTAATGAATATTGCTAAAGGTATATCCAAAGTCTGTCAAGTTCGTATCACTGCAGATGGGAAAAGATCTTTTACCGATATTAAGGAAGATGAACGGTACAATGATGATGATGAAGCAAAAACATTCAAACAGACAAATGAAGGAGAACAGAATGTTCATTGCAGTGAGATAGTTCATAGCAATGAAGATGACATGGATAGTGGGAAATCTTTTACTTTTAGGACAAGACATAATTCTTTTCCCAATGAAAATAGAAAAGAACTTTTAAACAATCAAATAGATACTTTAACCAATCTACCACAAAGTGTGTCAGAGACTAGTGAGCTGTTATGTCCTGATCTGAACTCAAATCGTGAATCAAAATATAAACATTCAAACGACATGCATACTGTGCATGGTAATACAGTAGACACTACCATTCATAGTGATGTAAGGATATCAACCGACAAACCAAGGAGGTATATACCACCTGAAGAGCCAGTAGATAATGTACCATATTTTACAAACATATCTAGATCAAAGACATTGGTGAAAAAATTAAATTCTCGTAAACCATTGCTGCCGACACCACCAAGAAGAGACAGTTTTGTGTATGACTATAATCAGTCATCTGTAAATAAGCAGTCTCTGCTAGAAACACCTGGAAACTGTCATAATCCACGTGATCAAATTCTCCCAAACATACCCGATAAGGAGAAAATAGACTCAGCTATAGATTGGTTTATGAGAAACAACTCTAATCGTTTTAATTTGCCGAAGGAATTGTCTGAGAATGACAGTAGTGGTAAAGCTGTTGAAAAGAGTGATGTGAATACACCACAAAGTCATACACAAAAAACTGATATTATTAATGAATCAAACAATACCAACACGTCACATCAGGACACATCAGAAATAACATCACCATCAACTTCACTGAAATATCAAGAAGTTCAAAGTGATGGACATCATATATATACTCCTTTTGCCAACTTTTATGAACAATCAGAAAACAGTGAAGAAAGAGACAAGAGTAAAAAATCTGAAGCTAAACTGAACTTAAAAATTACATTGACATCAAAATCGTCCACAGGTGATAGTAATAACAATGTTCATCGTGTCAGGAAATCAAATAACGTTACCGAAAACAGAGATGTGAAATCACATAATCTTACTGGAAATAAAAACATCAAATCCATTAATAATGCAGAGAATACAGAGAAACCTGGTAATGAAAACAATCAGAATTCAGATCCATCTGAGATCACATGTTCTCGTACAGCAGGGTTATCAAGAGCAACATCACGTTCAGTAATTAAATCTAAGTCATCAGAAGGAAAGGACGGATTGTTAATATCAGGTGAACAGAAAGATCAAACAAGTCATTCCTCAAAATCAGATAAACAGAAAGATAGGAAAAAGCATTCTTTAGAAATCAATGTAAAATCAAAATCAAAAGACAATAAAAATGAGAAGACATCACGTGAAAAAATGAAACAAGAGACTAGAAAAATTTCCACAGACAGGAAGGAAACTTTGGCGCTAGATCAAAACATAAACAACAGAAATGTGCCATCTAGTCCAAATGAAGATTCATTCGCTAAAAATAAATTAACATCAACTCCAGTTACCATTGGAAAAAGTATATCATACGAAAAAGATTTATTTTTATCACCTGTACTGAACCTAAAAACATTGAATAGTGGGTCAAAAGAAAAGAAACAACATACTTCTGGTAGTCATGAGAGACCAAACAAATCAAAATGTATGGTCACGTCTCAGACATTGTCGGAATCAGATTGTAGTGCTGACAACTTTATGTTAGTTGATAGCTGGCATGAGGGAACATTATCAAACTCGGAAAAATCAAAGAATGCATCAGGTGTTGAATCAAAAGAAGTAAGTGTTGATAAGGAGATGATGGAAATTGAGAAAGAAGCAGATGCAAACCAAAATATTTTTGATAAATTTGTTCACAAGAAAAAGTCTGAGAAAAGGTCCAGAAGTCCATTAAGACTGTCAGAGCTTAAAAAGATAAATTCTGATAAGAAAGCTCTAAAAGCAAAACATGGCAATCGTAAATCTGTTGATGAAGATCTAGAAACAAAAGTTCTGGGTGAGAAGTCAAATAATTTAAAGAATGAGAAAAAGTCTTTGAAAAAAGAAAATGAAAAGAGGAAAGAAGAGATGCACCAAAATTCAAAGTATTCATCATCATCAGACAAATCAAAGTTGATTTCATCATCCATCAAATCAAAAGTAATTTCATCTTGTGTCAAATCAAATGAGGCATCTTTACCTGAGAAAACACGTGTTAACTCCACATCTAGTAGACTGAAAGTATCATCTACTCATGAAAAATCAAAAACACCTGAAACATCTGCTTCTGTGAATAATTCTAAAATGACTTCTAGTTCTGACACATCTGATGTTACATCCACACCTATTCACTCGTTATTTGGACGTAAAATTCGAACTGGATTGGAAGATTTACCGTTTATAATTACTCCAAAGAAAGACAAACCTTGTGAAGGAATTGAAAAGTCAAATGAATCGGAAAAAAGTAGCATAAATATTCCAGAAAACCTTTTTCTAAAGATGAAGAAAAAACTCAGTCAAACAAGTAATGTTGTAAAAAGGTTAGACACAGCGAAGACAAAAACAATCAAATTAGGAACGGGTATAAAAAATGATATTATTACAAATCAATCGGACAAAAAAGATTCTGAAAAGAAAAAGAAAACTGAAGAATTTGAAAGGCAACAACAAACCATCAAAGAGGAAAATCAGAAGGATAAAACGAGAATTAATTTAGATAAAAATGTTCACCAATCAACAAAAACAGATGATGGGAATGATAAGATTAAATCCATTGAACACAAATCATTAGAAAAACACAAACCAAAACAAAGGGAAATAATTAGACAGAAAAGTCATGACAAAAATAAAAATTCCCCTGCATGTGGTATGAAGGAGGGAGAAAAACATTCTGCGGAGAAAGAACATCAGACTAGGAAACAAAAAAGTCAAAATGACAAAGCAAAGATCAGATCAGTCAACATAGAAAGTGGTAAAAACAAATTGACAGGATTTAAAGATAAAACAGAATTGACACTCGAAACAAATAAAGTGTCTGAAAATATTGATAGAACTGTATCGATGAGCGGAGAAAAATATCAAGTAGGGAACACTCATCGGAATCTTCACAATGAAACGGATTGTACTAAGAGCAAAGAGAAAAGCAAGGAAAACAATCAGGACAATATTGATTGTAATATGGAAAGTTCTGTGGACAATAATCTAGAGAGTCAGAAAGATGTTGATGAAAACACATGTAAGATTGTGTGCTCTAACAAAAATGGGGCGGATGACTACAACACAGAGAGTACTGTAAGCGTAGATGAAAGTTTTGAGTGTGTTGGAATTATTGAAAATGTAGACTTGAACACTGTAAGCTTAAGTGCTGATGAATTAGAAAAACTAGAAAATGTTCAAAATGTTGAGGTCAGTTTAGAAAGCTCGGTAACAACTAGTAAAATTGGAGAAATAGACAATGATCAGATAAGTCATAATATGTCGATGAGTTCTCTAAGTGCAGACGAGATAGATGAGGATGAACTCTTAAGGGACATGGAGGTAAATTGTCTAGAGGTTTCAGAGGAGGTAATTGTACAAACATCATTTGAGGAGAACGCTGAGAAGACTGAGATAAGTTGTCAACTAAACAGTAAGACTAGAGATGTTTGTCACGAAGACACTTATAGAGGAAACATTTGTCAGACAGGGGAAGAATCTCGGGGAACAGACAGAGTGTGGGGCACTGCTGATGAAATGGTACCGTCTTCATCTGTTGTCGAGGAAGTTGAAATCTGTACTACAGAAGAACTATTACCTTGTCATTATGAACAGTTGGAAGTTTTAACAGAGAAACCAGCTGAAATGGCAGAACATTTAAGTGTTCAAAACTGTGGCAGTTTAGTAGGAAATGCAAATGTTGTTGACACCAGCCACTGTCAAATCAGCACAGGCGATAATAATCATCAAATAACCACAGTTGCTGAAAGCCACAGTCATATAAACACAGTTGTTAATAGCCACAGTCATATAAACACAGGTGTTAATAGCCACAGTGAAATCAACAAGGATGATAGAAATCATCAACTAACCGCAGGTGATGATAGCAACCGTCAAATCGACACAGGTGATAATAGCAACCGTCAAATCGACACAGATGATAATACCTACCGTCAAATTAATACAGGTGATAATTACCTCAGTCAAATCAACAATGATGATGATAATCATCAGATCACCTCATGTGATAATAACGTTTGTGTGGACACTTTAGAGAAAAATAGCAGTCTGACAATTGGTGATAAAACAAAGGAAAGCATAGAGGAATCAGCTTTTGTGGATGCTGCTTCAAGGCTGTCAGAGACAAAAACAATCAGTGAAATTAATTATGTATGTGTTGACAAGTTACATACCATTGCTTCAGAATCTCATACAACAATGGAATCCTCTAAATGTTCTGTTGGAACTTCTGATATGATGGAGAATAATTCTCAAAGACCGACATTACTGGAAATTTCAAATTCTGAAAGAGTTGTTGAAATGAAAGAGGGTAAAAATAAAAATGCATCCCGAACAACAAAACATTGTGTTAGTATTATGTCAGAGAAAAAGGATAAAAATAGTTCAGATCATAAAATCAGTACCTCAGGTCAGAAATTACAAACAGCGGATAAATCAGAGAGGAAAAGGCAGAATGTAAAAGAATCGTCAAATAAATCTGATCATGTGACTAAGGGGAGTGAAAAATCAGCAGAACCTTCAAAAGTCATTAAACATGTGACTAAGGGGAGTGAAAAATCAGCAGAACCTTCAAAAGTCATTAAACATGTGACTAAGGGGAGTGAAAAATCAGCAGAACCTTCAAAAGTAATTAAACTTGTGACTATGGGGAGTGAAAAATCAGCAGAACCTTCAAAAGTCATTAAACTTGTGCCATCACCAGCCAAGTCAATGTTGCTGACTAAGAGGAACAAATCATCAGAATCGGGATTTATTCGTCAAAATTTACCATCTAAAGTTCTAGATGATCGAGGCAAATCGGCAAAAGCTAATATTCTGAAAGACTGGAAAATGAGTGATAAATCTATGCCTCTGAAACAATCGGAAAAACACAAAGCTCTACCTTCTGAAAAAAAATACAAAAGTTCTGGTGTTACGTCTGTAGGTAAAATAAAAACTTTGGATGGATTAAAAACTCAAAATGATAGTCCATCCTCAAAACAGAAAAAATCACTATGGAAACAACTCAGGAAGTTTGAAGGAAAAAGCATTAAGAGAAAAAAGACTAACACATCTTTGCTGAATGCAAAAAAATCACTTTGTACAGATGTAAAAGTGAGTAATAAAACACTAAAACCAACTGCTAAGAATAGCCATGATAAAACTGTCAGCTCTGGAGCTATTAATAACAATCAAGGAATAGCAGTAGGAATGGACACAGACATAGATAAGGATAAAAATGGCATGGTTTCTAACATTGACAATGATAAGAAAAATGGTGAAAAGTTTGTTGAAGATAATCTTGGAGAAGGAGATATTTGTGGACTGAAGATTGTCTCAGTTTGTGGAAATGTTGATTTCAATGAATCAGTCAATTCAGAACTAAACACATCAGAAGATGAAGAGCTAATGGAATATGTAAAAAATATGAATGATCGACCTGTTACACCTTCTTTGGATAATTTAGACATAATAATGAACAGTTCACCATTAAAAAAGTACAATCAACCAATACAAACTACTAAAAACAATAGTGAAAAGAACAATGATCAATCAAAACTTGTAGTTGTGACTATGCCTTCATTGGTTCACAAAACAACACGTAAAGACAGTTTTACTGGGACATTTGTACCGATGGAGACACATAATTCTCCAACAGATGAGAGTGAACTTGATAGCAGTTGTGATAAACTTGTTATTGATACAGAGCAGTCAGACAGTAAATTATCCGGCAGCAGTTCACTTGAAGCGGAGCAGACCAACATTTCTCTCTTAAATGATAAAGAAATTGGTGAAAGTACCACGGAAACAGTGGAACTATTGAAAGAATTATCAACTGTTGATTCTACAACTGAAAATATGCACAACACTGATTCTGGTAATGACATGTCAGAAAGTATGCACAACACTGAGTCTGGGAATGACATGTCAGAAAGTGTGCACAACACTGAGTCTGGAAATGACATGTCAGAAAGTGTGCACAACACTGAGTCTGGGAATGACGTGTCAGAAAGTGTGCACAACACTGAGTCTGGAAATGACATGTCAGAAAGTGTGCACAACACTGAGTCTGGAAATGACATGTCAGAAAGTGTGCACAACACTGCATCAGGTAATGACATGTCAGAAAGTATGCACAACACTGAGTCTGGGAATGACATGTCAGAAAGTGTGCATAACACTGAGTCTGGTAATGACATGTCAGGAAGTGGACAAGTGGAAGTGAATTGTAAGGCTCCATCTACAACCAAAGACAGCACATCAATGAGTCACGAGGGATCAAAATGTATTGACAATGATGAAACTTTGATCTATGCTAACAGTACCTCAGACATGGAATCATCGAAAGATACAATAGACTATTCTCAGGATCATCAGAATAAAGTGGAATCTGAAAACTTACAACATGACTTGGAGGAATACAGTGATGGGGATTTTGATGAGGACGATGATGATATACAAATTATGTGGTACATAAAAGGTGTGCCACAAAGTCCATGGACACCAGCCACACCTCATATCAAACAGGAAAGTACCAATGAAGGAGAAGAAGAAGATGATGAGTTTAAACAGCCTCCAGTTCTACCAGAACTAGATGAATATTTCAAGAAAAATCCTGAAATCTTCTCACAGACAAAAACTGCTAATGACACTTCAGGAAACAGTAGCATTGTACCAAGTAGTCAGCCTGATTCTCCACAGTTAGATGACACATACTGTGATCTGTTCTTTGTCAATGATAATCCTGACTTTAAGTATGAGGCAACTCCTATTGTAGAGGATACTGAGTCTGATGATAAGTCAGAGAAGATGGAAGGAATCCATGACACAGAAGAAGGCACTGAAAAGGTTGTAAGTCCTGGAGAAAGGAAGTCAACCGAAAAAGACAGTAACTTGGATCGGTTAAGTAATCTGAGATTTGACAAATATCCGGAAAAAATACAGGCTTTTAAAAACAAAGTTAAGAAAGTTATCTATGACAATAATGATTCAGCAGCAATAGACACGAATCATGGGAGTAAACAATGTATAGTTGATCAACCAGAAATCTCTGAAACAAAATGCAGTTCTACGAAGGAAAATGAAAATGATACTGCCTTAGATAATTTAAGTTCAACTGAAGGATCTAATATTGCAGAACAACCAACTTCTAAAGAAAACAATAGTGCTAGTTTAGATCTATCTCAATCAACAGAAAATAATGAAGTTAATAGTGAACAAGACCGACCATCATCAGCAGAAAATAATGAAGTTAATAGTGAACAAGACCGACCATCATCAGCAGAAAATATGTATGATGCTATTAAACATCACAGTAGACAAAGAAAAACAACTAAACCAAGATCAGGAAATAATCAAAAGAAGCTAGTATTCGGTAGCTTACTGTTTCCACCAGGTTTACAAAGAACTAACAGTAATGATAATGATGATGTTCAAATCATGCAACAATCACAACAAAGTACTTTTGAAATGGCTGAACCAACGAGGAGGCTGATTTATAGCATGCTTTTGTTTTCAAGAAGGCTAACAAACAATGGAAATTACGAGTTTTCACATTTCAAACCAATCTGTTTTACTCATGTCAAGGTTTTATTAGATGGAACTAATAGGAACACACTTGGTGAATTCATTCCCAAAAAATTGTGTGATGTTCTATTACGTTGTGTAAAATGTTTGACATGTAATGGGGACTATTCGCCATATCGATTTATGAGACATGTGTGTAATGTTCAATGGAAGAATGTGTCAGACAGATCATTACAGAATCAACCGATTCCAAGAGAACAGTTAGAAGGATCAAGCCAAGTCCTATGGAAACTCATGTTCTATGTCTTTCAAATGGAGAAACATTTAAGGTATTATATACTTGTAGCAGGTGTAAATAGTCATGTTCTTTGCTCTATAGAGAAGGTTTTGACATTAACTATCATACCATTTGTTTTCTATGGTAAACAACCAATTCTACTATAGGGAAAACTCATAAATGTCCCAAGTGTAATGTTTTTTTTTGTAAAAATAGAAATAACTGAAAATATATAAAACCACCAGATGTTTTACTGTACATTCAAAAATTTTTGTGATGTTTTTACAAAATATGAGAAAGTATAAGGTTCTCAATAATAAAAACTTGCATTCATTATTTTAGTAGTAATTTCATAAAATTTTTGCAAATGCATTAATTAGATTTAACATTTTTGTCAGAGGTCAAGGATTCGCAAAAAATAAATGAATGCATTAATTTCTGAATTTTCAGTTATCAAAAGTATTGTGGTCATCAAATTCTAAATAGAAGCAACAAGCATGGTTAGGGCAGCAAATTGTGAATAGAAAACACAAAAATTACAGAAACATTCAATATGTTCAAGTCATCAAAAATCTAAATAGAAAACAGTCTGAAGTCGTCAAATCATTAATGGAAAACATTCAAATCCCCAAATTCTAAAAAGGAAACATGGGACAGACATACACATTTACTTGTGTCAAAGCAACTACCATTACTAATAACAATCCTGACATGGGACAGACATACACATTTACTTGTGTCAAAGCAACTACCATTACTAATAACAATCCTGATATGGGACAGACAGACACATTAACATGTGTCAGGACAATTACTATTACCAATCATGACATGGTACATGCATACACATTAACATGTGTCCAGACAGACACATTAACGTGTCCAGACAACTACTAATAACAATCCTGACATAGGACAGACAGACACATTTACTTGTGTCAAAGCAACTACTAATAACAATCCTGACATGAGACAGACAGACACATTTACTTGTGCCAAAGCAACTACTAATAACAATCCTGACATGGGACAGACAGAAACATTTACTTGTGTCAAAGCAACTACTAATAACAATCCTGACATGGGACAGACAGACACATTTACTTGTGTCAAAGCAACTACTAATAACAATCCTGACATGGGACAGACAGACACATTTACTTGTGCTAAAGCAACTACTAATAACAATCCTGACATGGGACAGACAGACACATTTACTTGTGTCAAAGCAACTACTAATAACAATCCTGACATGGGACAGACAGACACATTTACTTGTGCTAAAGCAACTACTAATAACAATCCTGACATGGGACAGACAGACACATTTACTTGTGTCAAAGCAACTACTAATAACAATCCTGACATGGGACAGACAGACACATTTACTTGTGCTAAAGCAACTACTAATAACAATCCTGACATGGGACAGACAGACACATTTGCTTGTGTCAAAGCAACTACTAATAACAATCCTGACATGGGACAGACAGACACATTTACTTGTGTCAAAGCAACTACTAATAACAATCCTGACATGGGACAGACATACACATTTACTTGTGCCAAAGCAACTACTAATAACAATCCTGACATGGGACATGCAGACAGACACATTAACATGTGTCAAGACCATGAAGACAACTACTAATAACAATCCTGACATCATGGACATTGGACAGACAGACACATTAACATGTGTCAAAATAACTACTAAAAATGTAATACCAATCCTGACATGGGACAGACCGACACATTTTTATACGACCGCAAAAAAATTTTGCGGTCGTATATTGGTATGACGTTGGTGTCGTCGTCGTCCCAGACACATTGGTTTTCGCACTCTAACTTTAGTTTAAGTGAATGGATCTCTATGAAACTTTACCATAAGGTTCCATACCACAAAAGAAAGGTTGGGATTGATTTTGGGGGTTATGTTACCAACAGTTAAGGAATTAGGGGCCAAAAATAAGCATTTTTGTAACATCCAGACATAACTTGTGTGTTAGTGTATGGATCTCTCTGACATTGTACCACAAGGTTCCATATCACAAAGGGAATGCTGGGATTGATTTTGGGGGTAATTGCCTCAAATTTTAGGAATAAGGGGCCAAAACAGGGGCAAAAAACAAGCATTTTTCTAGTTTCATGATAATAACTTGTGTGTAAGCGTATGGATCTTTCTGAAATTGTACTACAAGATTCCATATCACAAAGGGAAAGCTGGAATTGAGTTTTGGGGTAATTGCCCAAAACGTTTAGGAATAAGGGGCCTAAAAGGGGCCAAAAATAAGCATTTTTCTAGTTTCCAGACAATTACTTGTGTTCAAGTGTATGGATCTCTCTGAAATTGTACTGCAACGTACCATACTACGAAGGGAAGGCTGGGATTGATTTTGGGGGTAATTGCCTCAAAATTTTAGGAATAAGGGGCCAAAAAGGGGCAAAAAACAAGCATTTTTCTAGTTTCAGGACAATAACTTGTGTGTAAGTGTATGGATCTTTATGAAATTGTACTTCAAGGTTCCATATCGCAAAGGGAAAGCTGGGTTTGCGTTTGGGGGTAATTGCCCTAAACGTTTAGGAATTTGGGGCCAAAAAGGGGCCTAAAACAAGCATTTTTCTAGTTTCCAGACAATTACTTCTGTTCAAGTGTATGGATCTCTCTGAAATTGTACTGCAAGGTACCATACCACCAAGTGAAGGCTGGGATTGAGTTTGGGGATGATGAATCATAAGGGGTTCAAAAAACTTTCGGGAGGGTTTTTTTTTTTCTTTAAAATTTTCCATTTTGAATTGGTTATTTCTGATTTATATATAAAAGCAAATAATAATGATATGGTTTGAATAGGTAAATTAAAAAATTTTAAAGTTCTTAGACCACATTCATTCTGTGTTAGAAACCTATGCTGTGTCAAATATTTAATCACAATCCAAATTCAGTGCTGTATCAAGCTTGAATGTTGTGTCCATACTTGCCCCAACTGTTCAGGGTTCAACCTCTGCGGTCGTATCAAGCTGCACCTAGCGGAGCATTTTATTGAAACATGTGTCAAGACAGTTACTATTATCAATCCTGACATGGGACATGCAGACAGACACATTAACGTGTATCAAGACAACTACTAATACCAATCCTGACATGGGACAGACAGACACATTAACATGTGTCAAGACAACTACTAATAACAATCCTGACATGGGACATGCAGACAGACACATTAACATGTGTCAAGACAACTACTAATAACAATCCTGACATGGGACATGCAGCATGTGCAGACAGACACATTAACATGTGTCAAGACAACTACTAATAACAATCCTGACATGGGACATGCAGACAGACACACTAACATGTGTCAAGACAACTACTAATAACAATCCTGACACGGGACATATCAACACATTTACATGTGTCAAGTCAATAACTAATAAAAATCCTGACATGAGACAGACATAGGACAACTACTGATAACAATCCTGACATGGGACAGACATGTACAATAACAGTTGTCAAGACAACTGCTAGTAACAATGCTGACATTGGATAGACAGCCACATTAACTTGTTTGAAGACAACTATTTTAACAATCCTGACATTGGATAGACAGCCACATTATCTTGTTTCAAGACAACTACTCTTAACAATCCTGACATTGGATAGACAGCCACATTGACTTGTTTTAAGACAACTACTAGTAACAATCCTGATATTGGATAGACAGCCGCATTGACTTGTTTGAAGACAACTACTAGTAACAATGCTGACATTGGATAGACAGCCACATTGACTTGTTTGAAGACAACTACTAGTAACAATGCTGACATTGGATAGACAGCCACATAGACTTGTTTGAAGACAACTACTTTTAACAATGCTGACATTGGATAGACAGCCACATTGACTTGTTTCAAGACAACTACTAGTAACAATCCTGACATTGGATAGACAGCCACATTGACTTGTTTGAAGACAACTACTCTTAACAATCCTGACATTAGATAGACAGCCACATTGACTTGTTTGAAGACAACTACTAGTAACAATGCTGACATTGGATAGACAGCCACATTGACTTGTTTCAAGAAAACTACTTTTAACAATCCTGACATTGGATAGACAGCCACATTGACTTGTTTCAAGACAACTACTTTTAACAATCCTGACATTGGATAGACAGCCACATTGACTTGTTTCAAGACAACTACTAGTAACAATCCTGACATTGGATAGACAGCCACATTGACTTGTTTGAAAACAACTACTTTTAACAATGCTGACATTGGATAGACAGCCACATTGACTTGTTTCAAGAGAACTACTAGTAACAATGCTGACATTGGATAGATAGCCACATTAACTTGTTTCAAGAAAACTACTTTTAACAATCCTGACATTGGATAGACAGCCACATTGACTTGTTTCAAGACAACTACTTTTAACAATCCTGACATTGGATAGACAGCCACATTGACTTGTTTGAAGACAACTACTAGTAACAATCCTGACATTGGATAGACAGCCACATTATCTTGTTTCAAGACAACTACTTTTAACAATCCTGACATTGGATAGACAGCCACATTGACTTGTTTGAAGACAACTACTTTTTAACAATGCTGACATTGGATAGACAGCCACATTGACTTGTTTGAAGACAACTACTTTTAACAATCCTGACATTGGATAGACAGCCACATTGACTTGTTTCAAGACAACTACTAGTAACAATCCTGACATTGGATAGACAGCCACATTATCTTGTTTCAAGACAACTACTTTTAACAATCCTGACATTGGATAGACAGCCACATTGACTTGTTTGAAGACAACTACTTTTAACAATGCTGACATTGGATAGACAGCCACATTGACTTGTTTGAAGACAACTACTTTTAACAATGCTGACATTGGATAGACAGCCACATTGACTTGTTTGAAGACAACTACTCTTAACAATCCTGACATTAGATAGACAGCCACATTGACTTGTTTGAAGACAACTACTAGTAACAATGCTGACATTGGATAGACAGCCACATTGACTT